CAACGGAGTGAGACTCTGTCTCAAAAAAAAAGAATTAAAAAAAAATAAAAGTGGAAAAATTCTCAGTAATAGATATACAATATAAAAAGTTACAATTCATGATTGATAAAGTGGTAGAATGTGAAGAGGTAGTTTTTTTATATTCAATACAAGTGAAGTTGTCATGAGATTACAATGTATTTTTATAACTTTAATGTTTTATGTAATTTCCATTTTTCAAGGTGATCACAAACAAAATGCCTATAAAAGGTTTGCAAAAGGAAATGAGAAAGGAATCAAAGCTTGTCACTACACAATCAACAAATCAAAAATGAAGGCACTAGGAGTGGACATGCGGGGAAATTTAGCTACAAGAAACACACAAAACAAATGACAAAATGTTAATAGTAACTTCATTTTTTCAGTAATACTTTACATAGAAATAGTTTATACTCCTTAATGAAAAGAAAGTAAATGGCTGTATGGAATAACAACAAACAAGACCCTACAATATGCTTCCTACAAAAGATTCACTTTACCTCGAAGGAGTCAAATAGGCTGAAAATAAAAGGATAAAAAAAAAAATTCCATGCAAATAATTCCAGCGTCCCAGTGATGCTTTCTCTGCCACTGTCAAGTTACATGAAGGTGTTCAAGATTCAGCTTCACCCCTAACCTAACCACAAAAGGGTAAGGTGGCCATGATTAGGTAAAATATACTTTAAGTTACAAACTGCCAAAAAGGCAAATATTGGTATTATATGATAGTAGTATGTGTCCATTTGCCAGAAACCTATAACACACATACACACACACACACACACACACGAACAGGGCTCCCAAATATATGAAGCAAATATGGACAAAAGGGTAGCAATTAATACATAGCAACACAATAATTGTAGTAGATTTCAAGCCCCACTGTCAATAATAAATAGAAAAATCACATAGAAGACAAATAAGAAAATAAAATTTGAACATTATAGACCAATTAGACCTAAAAACCGTATACAGAGCTCTCCAGTCAAAAGTAGCAGACTACACAATATTCTCAATGACACACGGCACATTCTCTTAGGAATCACAAGTCATCAAATTTAAGAAGACTGAAATCATACAATGTAACTAGAAATCAAAAACAAAAATGGCAAATCCACAAATATGTGAAAATTAAAGTCACTTTTGAATATATTCTTGCTCAAGAGCCAGATGATTTAGTATTGCTAAAATGGAAATATGACACACAGTAACATACAAATTCAGTGTAATCTCTATCAGCGTCCCAGTGATGCTGTCTTTCTCTGCCACTGCCAAGTTACACGAAGGTGTTCAAGATTCAGCTTCACCCCTAACCCAGCACATGGCCAAGGCAGGCGTTGCTGACGGAGGTGTCATGGACATCAACACTGCTTTACGAGAGGTTCTGAAGGCTGCTGTCAACCACAAGGCCTTGTATGTGGAATTCGGAAAGTTGCCAGAGCCTTAGACGAGCACCAAGCCCATCTCTGCGTACTTGCATCCAACTGTGATGAGCCTATTTACATCAAGCTGGTGGAGGCCATTCGTGCGAAACACCAAATCAACCTATTTAAGGTTGCTGACAAGAAAGGGGAACTGGTAGGCCTCTATGAAAATGACAGAGAGGGGAGGCCCCATGAAGTGCAAGATATGGCAAAGAAACTGAGACTAAGGATGTCACTGAAGAGTACTTCAAATGGAAGAAATGACAAAAAAACATTTGCTCACATTCCTCAAAAAAACCTCGATGGTACTTTTTTACAAAAATACAAAAAACTTTCTAAAAATTTTTCCATGACTGTGTCTAGCCACTGTTGCAAAAAGCAAAGAACAAAGAAGAATTAAACTTGGTTATTTCAAAACAAAGCTACAGAAATAAAAATAATGTGGTACTGGCACAAAGACAAACAGTTGATGGAACAGAATAGACAGCTCAAAATTAAGCCCTGGGTATATGATCGCATTATCTTTTGCAAGACTGCCATAACCACACAATGGGATAGGAGAACAATTTCAACAAACGGTGTTTAAAACTAGATATCTACATGGAAAAAAGTTAAACCCTTCCAATGCACCATATGAAAAAAAAATCTTAAATGGATTTTTCTTAAACATAAGAAATACTACTATAAAACCCTTAGAAGAATATATAGGGAAAAGATCACGATATTGATCTTTCCATTATTTTCTTGAATTTGACATCAAATGCATAAGCAACAAAGAAAATAACATAAAACTGGGACTACATCAAACTCCAGAACTTCTGCACATCAAAGGAAACATTTAGTGGCATAAAAATGCCCTGTAGGTAGGCAATGGGTGAAAATATTTTCAAATCACATATTTGATAAGTGTTAATATCCAGAATATATAAACAATGCTTACAACTGAAAAACAACAGAAAGCGAATAATTTGATTAAAAAGTAGACTAAGAATTGGAATGACATCTCCCCAAAGAAGACATAAAAATGGGCAAAAAGCATTTGAAAATACGCTCAAAATTACTAATCTTTAGAAAAATGGAAAAAAAAAATCAGTCAGATATTACCTCACGCCTGTTAAAATGAACACAACAAAACAAGCAAGAAATAAAGCTGTAGAGGATGTGGAGAAATTGACACCTTTGAGGAGAATAATGATGCAGTCACTACAAAAAACAGTATGGAGGTTTCTCAAAAAAAATAAATAAATACAATTATCATATGATCTAGCAATCTCACTTTTGAGTATGTATCCAAAGTTTGCAACACATGACCTGGAATTGGTATTCGCACACTCATGTTCACCGTGGCATTACTCACAAA